CTGGAAGCTCTGCTGAAACTTGTCCACCATGGCTAACCCTGTTGGCACTTGAAACACTGGTGGCACAGCCTCCAGCCTCACAGCAACACAGAAGCCACCACAGGACAACAAACTGACAGACGAGTTTGTCTCCCTTAGCTGTTCCAAACTGCTCCACTCCTGCATCCTGGCCTTCCCTACCAGTTCCGGCCATCCAAAGAGCCATCTGCCACTGCCTCCCAGCCGTCCCTACCAGTTCTGGGCCTCCAAAAACTCATCTGCTGCATGCCAGCCATTCCTACCAGTTCCAGTCCTCCAAAAAGCTGGAATTTGTGCTAGAAGAGGTTAAAGGCATTAACCACAACACAATGTGAAACATAAGAATAACAGTTCTCTTTGTCCTTAGAATCTAGAACGAACATGATCTTCAATTAAACCTTTGTTTCATGAGCATATACAAGATGCCATTAGCCATTCACTGAAGTGAGACACGGGCTACGTGTATGGAAAACTTGTGATATATAATTTTTCACACATGGACATTTTACAAAGCAAGGTGCCCTGGCTACAAATCCTCTTGACATACCTTTTTTGTGGAGTTGATAATTGTGCTAAGCACAGAGACTAATTTTACAATCTCCTTGTTGTCAGAAACATTCTTGTAGTAGTTCTTGGTGTGCACTGGAATAGGTAAGTTTACAGATGCTATCTCAACTGTATCTTTTAAAAAAGAAGAAGAAATATTTACATTAGCACCACAGGTATAATCATACTTTTAAAAGATAAAGTAATTTCTGGAGTACTGAAGTAAGGACCTCTGAAAATCTTCTTCATGAAACCAATGGGAATAGTAGAAAGTATTGTTAAAATATGTTTTAGAACTCAGAAAAACTGGCAACAATCCAAGGAGGGTTTATTTAAGAAAATCTGCTTAATTTCTACTCTATCATTGAGTTTTGTGGTGTTTTAAATTGCTCACTCTCTACCTTTGTGAGGAGCTCTGGTGGCATAGTGCCTAAGGCACTTGACTGCTAACCAGAAAGCTGGTGGTTCAAACCCACCAGCCACTCCTTGGAAGGAAGGCTGGGCAAT